CCTTGTTGACTGTTCCATTGAACAACTGACTAGATGCAGCATAGCGCTCTTAAAATTCGCTTTTCAACGTCAGCTATGCCGACATCTTGCCAATTTACCAACAGAAGCGGGCTATACGATCGATTCGACTTATATACATAACTCCAAAAAAAACCGAGCTCGCACACAAATCACCGAAATATTCTCACTGCGATCACAAATGGTCTTCTATTACTCGCTTGTTGTCAATGGCTTTTATCAATGAAACGCTTGTTGTTTTGAAAAGCACTTAACAAGTTCTGGGTGCTGGTTTTCTGGCTCTCGAACCTATGGATCGGAATTGGATGGCTTGGAGTGCCGGACGATGGCAAGTGTAATCCGTCAGCGATGGAGACTAATTGGCAACTGATTCCGAAGCCGAGTGGCGAGCTCAGCACCACACCTCGGCAATTGAAGAAGTTTCAATTAGTTGGCATTTGACACTCACACATGGAGAAGAAACGGGGATTGGATGGCGGTGAGTGCCCGTTGCCAGCTCACGCACACCGTCGCAGAGTGGGGGTGATACCTGTACAGGCTTACCTGTACGCGGCGACAGGTAGGTAGGCAATGGGGAAAAAAATGAGAGAGGAGGGGAAGGGGTACACCGGCCTGGCACACCGCTTAAGCCGCTTTTTAGCGCAATGCCATATGCCCGGAATATTAATGAACTCCCTTTTGAGAAAAATATGAAATGAAATAAAATTTTGTTGCCAACAATAGCCGTGTCCACGTTCGAGTCGTTGTCGCTGTCGTTGTCATTGTAGTTTCGGAATTGGAATTTGTCGGCCGCGGCAGAGGGCCCCAAAAATGCACTTACCATGGCCACCATTCAGCGCCAAACACGGCGCATGCGCAGCGATTGCTACTTCCGCTGGGAAAAAGATATAGAAAATATTGTGCAGGAGCAAGGGAATACATAGATCTTCACGGGACGATTACCCCGAAGAGGGTATAGTTCGCTCTCGGGGCTTCTGTGAACCATCTATAGGCATTACATTACAGATATTTATGCGCGATTATACAAAACAGTCACGTGCCGGTCTTTTCTATATACATATCAGCACAAATACTGGTCCGGGGACTTACACCTATATGCCCGAACTGCTATTTATATGTGGGGATATATGTATATATATATTCATATAGAAAGGCGGGGAACGTTACTCACGACCGATGTCTGGAGCTTCAAGATCCAGAAGCAAAACCCCCTCCCTCGGGATTATTGGTATCCGATCCTTTCCTTTGGAAACTCATAATTTGAATATTGTTATTATTATTCATATGCACACGAATCACGTTCAAATGGCCATAAAGTCGGCAAAGCATGCACGTATTAAGTAAACCCATTGACCACGATGGTCGAAGCTGAAATTCCGAAAGCCCCAAGACATAACCACATTCCGACTGGAAGTAGAAATTCATATGGATCCGAGGATACCGACCAAGTCTTTCCTGCAATTTCTCCCACTTCCGTCTTTGGCCCATTCGCAGCGAAAAAATTACAATTAATTAAGTATTAGTATGCACAATCGAAGCACTAACGGATGATGACCAATAGTTTCGTAACCAGGTAGTTTGAAGGCCCCTTATCTGTCGCCTACCCTGCGCTTTCTAAACTACTATCCATAGAACCGAAGAAATTAATTTTAATAAGCCATTCGGTATTTCAGGCACGGTGTTCCCACCGGATCGGATTGGATCGGACTTCTACGGGAAATGCTTTGACGATGATCGGTCTCGAAGGTGAAAAGGAAATTATTATTATACAAGAGGAAATACTAGAAAAGTACAACGGGACCTGTGAAACCTTTCGTTGGTTTACCATGTACGGATTTTCGAAAAAGGCGTAGTTCTTTAAGCTTTATATGAAACATCAAACTCTCCTTAAGATATTTGTTATAGCCTTGTAGAGATTATAATGACACTCAGAAGTTTGCAACGCAGTGAAGGAGACCTTTACGACTCGATAAAGTATACATGTATCAGTTTTAAAGGTATCGCGATGAAACCTTCCCAAAAGTCTAATTTTTACAGCAGTAGTATATAAGCCGGAACGAGCCGGATCGGACAACTATATCTTATAGCTATCTGTACATTTCTTTAGTTATTTTTTTGTTCTCTAAAAATCGGAAGGATCTATATGGTATATACAAAGCTCCCATGGGAACGACTTTCAAGAATATAGAAACTACGGCTTGCCGAACTTATCTTCCTTACTCGCTATTTGTATGATTTTATGTTATGTTAATTTTGTGAAAAGCCTTAGCAATCCTTAAAATAAATTCTCATAATATCCCGATCTTAAAAAAGATTTTTAAATATTCTGGAGTTGTCCAAGCCCCTAGCAATCTTTTTACCCTTTCGAGAAGAAAATGGTTGAGAGAGATTTTGTTTAGCAAAAAATATATACAACTCTTTTTGAATATCTTATGTATCTACTAATCAAAAAAATTAATGTAATAAAACTAATAAAATAATATGAGGATCAGCAGACCAATAGTCGAATGGGAAAGTGAATATTTATTATATATATATTACGTTTACTTATTTTCTTATTTGTATAAATTCATTGATTTCAAATTTTTCTTACCTGCCAGAAACAACAATTTGAATTTGATAGCCTAATCGATAGCTTTTGCGGCTTTCGGCCGCCATCGATAAAGAATTAGCGATACCTATATATCTAAAAGCGATATTATTCGGTGTGAGCAGGAACATCTCAAGCGTCAGCATTTGTTTTTAATTGAATAACTAATTCCGTGCCCGGAATGAGCTTTCAACCGCCTTCCCAAGGAAAGCCGCACCCAATGGTAGGTTGAAGATTACCCCTATATAACCGCTGGTTTAACCCTAATCACTTTCCAGGCAGACTACCAATCCATCAGGCTTTCCGAATTGGAGCAGCTTTTCGAGAAGAAGTTCCACTACCAAAAGCCACGGGGAAATGAGTCCTGGCAATTGCCTCCACAAGATCAGGCTCTCTTCAGCGAGTTCTACCAATTCGAGGCACTGCAGGGACTCCGGGAGCAACTGAATGCGGTCAAGAGCAAGCTGAACGACTATGGAGTCCAGGAATGGAGTGCCCATACCAACCGGCGTGATCCTTCTGGCGAGGTCTCCTGGCGCCTCAAGAACGATACCAAAGCGGAGTTCGTAACCGTTGCCTGGTGCAAATTCTTCGAGTGCCTGCATCGTTATCCATTGGTAAAGACACCGGTGGTCAACACTCTGCATCTCTGCGAGGCTCCTGGAGCCTTCATCGCATCTTTAAACCACTATCTACACAGCATGTACTCCAAAGATGAGGTGAGTTAACAGGGAATCCTTGAAGAGATCAAATACCCAACTCCCTTTACAGATTAAATGGAACTGGCGGTCCACCACTTTGAATCCCTACTACGAAGGCAATGCCTTGAACCAGATGATCTCCGATGACAGGTTCATCTTCCACACGCTGGACCACTGGCTCTTCCACAAAGATCTCACCGGTAATCTACTTGATGTGGACAACATTGACCACCTGGCGGAACGTTGTGCGGAGGATTTGAAGGGAAAAGTAGATCTGGTCACTGCCGATGGCTCCATTGATTGTGCAGCACAGCCCGATTGCCAGGAGGAGATAGTGGTCCGCCTGTTCTTCGCCGAAGTACTCAGCGCTTTGAAGATCCTCTCAAATGGTGGCAACTTCCTGGTGAAGATGTTCACCCTCTTCGAGGCCTGCAGTGTTTCCCTCCTCTACTCGCTGAACTGCATCTTTGAGCAGGTGCACATCTTTAAGCCGGCCACATCCAAGCGCGGAAACTCTGAAGTTTATGTAATCTGTCTGAATTATCAGAAGGACACTCCCGGCTTGCCACGTTTGCTGGAGGAGATAAAAGCCAAGCTTGCCCAGCCGAATGACACCATGGTGATGCCCCTGTTTGCCAGATCCCAGATTCCTCAGGACTTTCTCATGCAGCACGAGATTGCCTGTCGTCTGTACATGAAGCTCCAGGCAGATGCCATCGAGGGAAGTATATATGCCTACGAGTCCAATGATCGCCATTATCTGCGACACCTTCACCACCTGCGAGGACTCGTATCAAACACCTACTACAGTCGCTACAAAGTGAAACCCCTGGAGGATAGTCTCTGCATTGTGGACAAGGAGGCAACTAGCAAGGCACTCGGATTCTCAGTGCCTGTCTACGGAGGCTCTTACACAGAAAGGGAGAACTTGAAACACGGTGACCTTCTCAAGCAGATCTACTGCTTGCGCCGGGAATTTAACCAATTGGAGAAGTGTCCCAGTGGCAGAGCTACATATTCATACGTAAAGAACAGAGTGGCGCCCTTGAGACTTAACGTTTCCCGAGGAGCTGCTGTCCAGAGCCTGCAAAGCAGCCTGTTTGCCTCGGAACCCATACTAATACTGCGCCTTCGCATTCTGGACACATTTGATCTCGATCCCGTTTGGCAGACTGCGCCCAAGTGCCAATTGGATGCCACGACACTAAACTATCTGCCTCCCTCGGAAAATCAAAGCTTCCACTCAGCTCAGCAATGCTTTTTCGTTGATCTCCTGGAAGCAGTAAAGGAAAAGCAGCCCCAGAGCATTGTTTTCCACAAGTTCCTGTTCCTCACCCACTACGCTGCTTCCCTGCTCCTGTTCCTCATGGAAAGCATTTACGAGGAGTGCAGTTTCGATAGCCATCAATCGCAAACCCTAACGTTGAGTAAGCTCAAAGTCACGGAGAAGAAAGAGTTGGAGCAAGTGCTGGAGATCCTTAAGGATGAGCAGGCAGGGGCCATTCACAGCTTGCTGGAGATCAAGGAGCTTCAGAAGAACCAGTTCAGCAACGCCCTCATCCAGCACAACAACAGCGTGCTGCTGACCTGTTTCCGCGGCATGCTGGGCGAGGAATCGTTTCCCATGCCCCCGGTCTCGACATCCAAAATGGAGGTCTCTACCATCCAAGAGCCGCCTGCTGTTTTTTAACATAACGAACATGTATTTCTCACTTGCATAAAATTACAGTGCTACTTTTACAAAACTAGGTACTCTTCCGGGTGAAATCTGCTTACATGTTTTTTGAGGATAGCTTTTTTTGGGGGATCGAAAATGAAAATTAAATAACTAACTGAAAAATCACAAGACTAAGTGGGGATCGAGGGTGTACATGGGTTGTGGGCTGGTCCACCTACTCCACCTTCTCCGCCGCCGCCGTCGTCGTCGCCTTCCCGCTAGTCCGCCGGACGCTTTTCGCTGTGCTTCTTGGTGTAGTCCTCGGCGTTCTTGACGAACTTCTTGCGATCCTTGAGGAACTCCTCGGCCAGCTCCGCCCGCAGCGGATGCTCCGGCTCGGGGTCGTTGATAAGGTCAACCAGGGCCTGCACAACCTGATCGGTCCGGGTGGCCGGCTTCCAGTTCTCCGTACTAATGATGGGCAGGCAAACCTGGCCCTTCTCGTCGATGTTCGGATGATAGATCCGCGTCTTGAAGTTGATCTTCGGGGGCTTGAAGGGGTACTCCGCCGGGAAGTTGATCTCGATGCGGAAGGCGCCCTTGTTGTACGGCGGATTGTCGGGCACAATCAATCCCGTCCAGCGCAGCAGGTTGTCATCGTCCGCCTTGATGTCCCGGAAGGCCTTCAGTGTGTTGTCCTGCAAATCGCTTAATTCTTTTCGTAGGCGTCGCGGCGCAGTCATCGTGGTGTCTGTGTGTGTGGGTTTTCTTTTGCTGCTGCTTAGTGGTGTGTGTGTGTTTTGGGGCAAGGGGCGGGGGCTCTGCTCTCTGCGTGTGCACTTTTGTTTGCCCTTGTGTGAGCTGCAAATCGATGGTCTCGCCTTTCGGATGAGTAATACGCTAGTTGGGGGCGCCGGCCTTTCGTTTTCGGTGGCTTCCCGGTGCTGCTCCAGTTGCCGTGTGTCACCTTTAATTTCCCCCAAATCAGCACGTAAGTCTGCGAATTTCTGAAAAATGGTTCGTACAAGAATCCCCCAAATGGCGTTAGGGTGTTTTATGGACCTGCTCACACTGGCGCTGCGGTACTATTACACTAGTCAACAAATCGGTATCGATGTTTTATATTTATACATTTGAAATTGGTATTTTCATTTATTTACTCGCTAATTACACTTTAATAAATTACTACAGAAGCCAGGGTACTCATATATGAAAGATACGGTGGTTACACGGTTTGTGTTTGTTGAACTGTTTATTTTAAGTCAGCTCTTTTTCTCTATTTATTTCTACTAGACCTTACCACTTTTCTATAATATGTATATTTAAAAAGATCATATTTTGTTTAACTAAAAAGGGTTACGAACTTTTTTTCCGAACTTCCGTAAAATTAGTCGCAGCAACGAGCAACAAACATTTGGGTACAAGAAGGATTTCTAGCTATTTTTGCAATCGATAACCGGCAGCAGTGGCGGCAAACCAATCGATAACCTACCGTTTTATTCGACTCCCATCGCTATCGCTGACTGCAACACGTGCGCCGCGTTAGTTTTGTTTTCCCCTCAAAATGACCAAAAAACTAGGACTTAAACGCAAAGGAAAGGATGCAGAGCCCACAATTGAGGTGGCTGCCAGTTCCGAGGCCTCCGAGAACGAGGAGGAGGAGGTAAGACCACCTGACAAGCGAAGAGAATATCAGACCCAAATCACCTGCATGTGTTTTTGGTTTTTCAGGACCTGCTGCAGGCTGTCAAAGATCCAGGAGAGGACTCCACAGATGACGAGGGCATAGACCAGGAGTACCACTCCGACTCCAGCGAGGAACTGGAGTTCGAGAGCGACGAGGAGGGCAACTACCTGGGCAGGAAGCAATCCTCATCAGCAGAGGAAGATGAGGAAAGCGGCGATGAGGAGGGAGAGGAAGAGGAGGAGGAGGAAGATGACTCCGAAGACGAGAAGGAGGAAGAATCTCCCGGCACATCCAAGCAAAAGAAATCCGATGACAAGCCCAGCAGCAGCGGTGCCGCCAGCAAGCAAGCCAGCACAAAAGAGCCGCCCAAAAAAGACTCCTCCAAGCCGGAGTACCAAGATTCAGACACCTCCGACGAGGAGGACATACGAAACACTGTGGGCAACATACCCATGCACTGGTATGATGAATACAAGCACATCGGCTATGACTGGGATGCCAAGAAGATCATAAAACCGCCACAAGGCGATCAGATCGATGAGTTCCTGCGTAAGATCGAAGACCCAGACTTTTGGCGCACTGTCAAGGATCCGCTGACCGGTCAGGATGTGCGCCTAACAGACGAGGACATTGCCCTGATCAAGCGCATTGTCTCTGGTCGCATCCCCAACAAGGATCACGATGAGTACGAACCCTGGATCGAGTGGTTCACCTCGGAGGTGGAAAAGATGCCCATCAAGAACGTGCCCGACCACAAGCGCTCCTTCCTGCCCTCCGTGTCCGAAAAGAAGCGCGTGTCGCGCATGGTGCACGCCCTCAAGATGGGCTGGATGAAGACCACCGAGGAGGTGCAGCGGGAGAAGCAAGCCAAGCGCGGTCCCAAGTTCTACATGCTGTGGGAGACGGACACCAGTCGGGAGCACATGCGCCGCATCCACGATCCCGTTTCGGCGCCTAAGCGCGACCTGCCCGGTCATGCCGAGTCCTACAATCCACCGCCAGAGTACCTCTTCGATGCGAAGGAGACCAAGGAGTGGCTTAAGCTCAAGGACGAGCCACACAAGCGCAAGCTGCACTTCATGCCCCAGAAGTTCAAGTCACTGCGAGAGGTGCCCGCCTATTCGAGATACCTTCGCGAGCGTTTCCTTCGTTGCCTGGATCTTTACCTGTGTCCTCGCGCCAAGCGTGTCAAGCTCAACATCGATGCCGAGTACCTCATCCCCAAGCTGCCTTCGCCGCGTGACCTTCAGCCTTTCCCCACGGTGGAGAGTATGGTTTACCGCGGCCACACCGATCTGGTGCGATCTGTTAGCGTGGAGCCCAAGGGCGAGTACCTCGTCTCAGGCTCTGATGACAAAACTGTCAAGAGTGAGTGCTACCCTTCCTACCAATATCTTAATATACTAATAATACCATCCTTCTTTGCAGTTTGGGAAATTGCCACAGGCCGTTGCATCCGTACAATTGAAACCGACGAAGTGGTGCGCTGCGTGGCTTGGTGCCCTAACCCCAAGCTCTCCATCATTGCTGTGGCCACCGGCTATCGTCTGCTGCTCGTCAATCCTAAAGTGGGCGACAAGGTGCTGGTGAAGAAGACCGACGATCTGTTAGCTGAGGCGCCCCCTCAGGATGTTCTTGAAAGTGAGCGCATTAAGACGGCGGTCCAGTGGTCAAATGCAGAGGCTGAGGAGCAGGAGAAGGGCGTACGGGTGGTGATCACCCACTTCAAACCCATTCGCCAGGTTACCTGGCACGGACGCGGTGACTACCTGGCCACTGTGATGCCCGAGGGTGCCAACCGCTCGGCGTTGATCCATCAGCTGTCCAAGCGGCGCTCACAGATTCCATTCTCCAAGAGCAAGGGTCTCATCCAATTCGTGCTCTTCCATCCCGTGAAGCCTTGCTTCTTTGTGGCGGTAAGTGGATATAAAAACTTTGGATTTATTTATACTAACTGCTTGTTTTTTTTGGTTACAGACGCAACACAACATTCGCATCTATGATTTGGTGAAACAAGAGCTGGTCAAGAAGCTGCTGACCAACTCCAAGTGGATATCTGGCATGTCCATTCATCCCAAGGGCGACAATCTGCTGGTGTCCACCTATGACAAAAAGATGCTCTGGTTCGATTTGGATCTGTCTACTAAGCCCTACCAGACTATGCGACTCCATCGCAATGCTGTTCGCAGCGTGGCCTTCCATCTCCGCTATCCGCTCTTCGCCTCTGGCAGTGATGACCAGGCTGTGATCGTCTCCCACGGCATGGTTTATAAGTAAGTGGCTTTTGAAACTCCTTTGGCCTTTATTTTTACTAATTTCTGTGTTCAATTTCAGTGACCTGCTGCAGAACCCCCTGATTGTTCCCCTTAAAAAGCTGCAGACACACGAGAAACGTGATGAGTTTGGTGTTCTGGATGTCAACTGGCATCCGGTGCAGCCATGGGTCTTCTCCACGGGCGCTGACTGTACCATCCGACTATACACGTAAATTAGGTACATAAACCCTAAGGTAGCTGTGTTGGTTACTGACAGTTTTATGAAATTTATATAGTAAATAAAAACATTACTTTTTAATGATAGAACACATTTTCTTTGAGCTTGGTTTTGAAAGACTAAGATATTTATAAGACTTTCAATCAACAAAAAGCATCCAAATTTAAATCGTCTTCCTTGGTATTATTCGTATTATTGAGATCTAAAGGCAATATTTTTAATAAATTTGTATTTAATTTAACGTTATATCTTCTTTGGTCAATATGGTTATATCATCTCAAAAATAATTTTTAAATAGACTACATTTTTTCAATTTTGGATATGGAATTCAAATAAAACACCCGATAGGGAAATCCGGAACAGGTCCGGTAAACCGTATGATACCGAAAGATCTTAATCTAGAGAATCATAAACATTACAGACATTTAAACAAAACTAGCCAAAGAAAACAAATATCGCTCAAACGGAATCTGTTACTTTGTTTACGTACCGGGTTCCGAAATGAACGGGATCCCCAAATCAAAATCAAAGTGCCAAATGCAACCCTGTCGAAGGTGCTGAAGTTTTGGCCCCAAAGCTTTGTGGGGAATTCCAGTGGAGCGAAGAAGAGTCCCGAGCTTTGTTCTCTTCTTCCGACTCGCGCACATGTCTTTCGGATTCCGTTTTTTTTTTCGCTCGCTCACCGACCGACCCTCTCTCCTGTGTGTACCAGGAATTCTAACTGTATAGCTATGCCGCCGAGCTTTTGCGCTCAGCAGTCCACCTTTGGAGCCCCCCGCTGCTGCCCCCGCCCCATTCCACCCACCATTATCTCGGGGTTCTCGGATGAGGAGCGCGCGCATTGGAAAATCAAGAGCTGGCGAAACGGCACTGCTTGGAAATCAGTCGCCTGCCTTTGCCCAAGCGGAGAGAATCTCGAATCGCTCGAATCGACCTGTCGAGGATTTTGGCTTCTGGTTCTGTTTTTTGGCTCTGTTCTGGGCGCTGAGCAGCCAAAATCGCCGAGCAGAGCGCAGAAATCGAATGGGAAAAAGCGCTGCCATATAGCGGGGGCCCCCAGAACGCAGGAATATAATGAAATATGGCCGAGGGCGAGATGTGATGTGATGTGAAAATGTGAAAATGCCAGTCCATCGAGTGACCACGAAAATTGCACTTTCCCCTTAAATTCGTATTCGCACTGAAAACCCCCAAAAAAAAAGATCTAAACCAAAAACCGAAAAAAATCAAAGCAAAACAATTTCGGTTCGAAAAAAAAGTAAAATATACACAAATATACACATTTCGAATCCAATTCTAGTGGCAAAAATTCGTATGTACTCGTCGTCGCTGCTCCTCAAAAACATACATACATACATACAAGCGTGTCCCCCTTTTCCCGCCCACCCAAAACGCCACCCAAAATCCTCAAAAGAAAATACGTGTGTGTGTGTGTGTGTTTGAGTGAAAATATGAACGAAAGAAGCGTTCGCAAGACAATAAAACCGAAACAACCGAAAAACACAAAAAAATCTTATAATAATAATATACTAGATAGCTAGATTAAGGCAAATGGTCAAAACAAAGGAACAAAAAAGCAGCAGCTGACTTGTGATAAGTGCAACGACCAACGACCAAATCGCAGTCGCTTCGGGTTACAAGTGCAATTAGCTGCTACATGTTGCAGCTGTTGCAGCAACATCAGCGCACATCAAAGGGGTAAAATCACGCATACGCCCCATGCGCCCCAATCGCCCCACGGGCCAAACAATGCGCTCCACTTAGCCAAGTTGCGTGTCAATGTGGTGGTGCCACCACTGTATATATGTACCATACCATACATATAAAGTATATATCAGTGTAATGACTAGCCCAAGAAATAAATAAAGTCCACGGAACACGGAGAAACAACAACAACTGCGTCGGGGGCAGCTCCAGCTGCTCATAAAATTTCGTAACGAAACGTAACGCTTGGGAAATGTGCCCCTTGGTGCACGGGGCTTTTTTCAATGGATTTGCTAGATTTTCGCCCCGAAAATCCTACACATAGGAATATGTAAATGCCGTAGGCGCCACCACCTAGCTAAAAAAAAGGCTAGCTCACCCACGAAATCAGGAACCAGGATAAGGATAACCACTATACTATACCATTCTATACGAAACTAAACTGCTCTAAAGGTTATCTGAAAAATCGAAAAGAATTTCTGGAATTTCTGGGCCATGTAAAATCGCTGAGAAGAAAAAGAAAACATAAAATAAAGTAAAATAAAACAAAACGAAAACTAAGTGAGAGAGAGAGAAGAGCGCCCGGAGAGAGAGAGAGAGTGGGAACTTTCGATAAAAAATTATTAGCAAAAACATAAATACGTAACGGCCTCGTTCTCCCGTGCCTTCATTTTCCAACCACCCCCACTCCCCCCCAAAAGGAAATCGCAGAGAAAGAGAAAGAGAAGCCGAATCGAATCGAAGAAAGGAACAGAAGAGAGCACCGGAGCGAGCGGGTGAGTGGGTAGGTCAGTGGCAGTGGGCGGTCCGCCAGCTGTGGCAGCACCACCGCCCCATCACCACCCATCACCACCCCACACCCAGAACCACCTCTCCACCTCTCCACCTCCTTCTCCATCAGCGCCGCCCGCGTCAACCTCAACTTTCAAAGGGCAGGTAAGTGCACACGGAAAACAGAATCCGAATCACGGGCGGAATAGGAATACGAATAAGAAGAAGAAGCAGACCAGATCAGCATTTGACATTTAGCTTAGGCGTACTCCCACAGGTTTTTCTTTCTTACACTTGTACTGCTTCTCTATAATTACGAAAATGGTCACTGAAATATAGAACTTTTCTGGTGAATAGGGGAAAATACTTCTTCAGATTTTCTATCTTTTCTATAGTTTTAAAAGGACACTTACATATTGATCCTTTTTTTTTAAATAAACAAATAAACATTGGGCTAGTACCCCTCTATACTTTCTATATTCTATCGATTTGCAATTGCATTAAGCATAGGTATAGTAAAGTTCATATGTATAGCCTTCTTTTTATATCTTTATTGCTTTATTTAAAATAAAACACAAATATTTTAATTTGTATCTATAATAAAATTATTATTATTAACCTATTGTCTATAGAATCATTTTTTTGTTGAATTTTTTTTGGGGTTGTTAAAATAATACTGAGATATTGAATTTTCACGTTCCAGAAATGTAGATTTCACTAAAGGGAAATTTATTCTCTGAAATATTTCACTTTAAATGTTTTGATAAATGAAATGATAAGTTAAATATTACATTTAATATTAAATGCTTGTAATTATACAGAAATTTGCATTTAATATCAAAGCTTAAACATTTTTAGTTGTTGTTGGTACCAGTTTAAACAACCTTAAAATGCTTTATTAATTTAATAACATAATAATATAAATTAAATGGTTGCTTTAGGTATTCCAAAAATAACTATTGCTACTATACTATTTATAAATTTTAAACAGTTTACACATTTATTTGACATTATCAGGAAGGGTTTCGAGTATTATATTCTATAAGAAGTTCTTAAATCATAACTTTTATCAGATTCCGAACATCTTTTTTAAGGTATCTGGTTATTATACATGTTAAATAAGAAGTTTTTAAATCATAACTTTTATCAGAATCCGAACACCTTTTTAAGGTATCTGATTATTATTCATGTTAAATAAGAAATTCTTAAATCATAACTTTTATCAGATTCCGAAAACCTTTTTAAAGTATCTGATTATTATTCATGTCAAATAAGAAGTTCTTAAATCATTACTTTGATCAGATTCCAGAACAGCTTTTTAAATGTATCTGATTATTATACATGTTTATTAACCAGAATCTAATCGGCCAAACAGTTAGTAAAACAAGACAATTATCAATTAAGTAGCATGGTAGCCTGGGACAGATAAGAACCCCCGTTTTGGCATGACGAACGCCAAATGGATGACGAATACTCGCCGCCTATTTCTCTCCGTGTGACCCCAAAATCACTTTACCAACAACCCAGTTTATTAACGATTCAATTTGTTCCCTTATTGCAGGTAGCGGCATGTCCTGCACCGTTTCGGAGCTGCCCAGTGGCTGTCGATTGCGCGGCATGACTGCATCCTCACAGCAAAGTGCCGCCAACAATAGTGGCAACAATGGGAATGGCAATGGCAACGGGAATGGCAATGGGAACGGGGGAGGCGGCAGCGTTGGGGGCGTCGGCGGAGGGGGCGGCAACAGCCTGGGCGGAGTATCGCCCACCGTGGGCGGCAGCGTGGGAGTCGGCTCCACGTCCAACGTGCTGCAGGAGTCCAATGTGGCCACGTTGCAGCGACCGCAGTCGCAGAAGCCGTGCTGCTTCTGCTGGTGCTGCTGCTGCTCCTGCTCCTGGTGAGTACCGGTGGATCAGGGTGTACCATGCCCTGGCCCAGGCCCAGGCCCACCGAGAGTGGCCTACATGCTCACCGCTCAAATCCTCTGACACGAAATCAATTTCTTTCTCGTTACCGCTACCGCGCTGCCTTGACTCAACTTTGGCCACAATAACTACTACCCATCCAATACCTATACCTATGCGAATACGAATACGAATACGAATACCAACCACAACCGTGACAACAGGGCCAAATGGTAAGTACCTTCCTTAAGCACTCATTCTTTCATGCACCGAAAAGAAAACAAGTGGGCTGGGGCTTAAAGTTCTAGAACTTTTACTGGAAGAATAAAGATTTAAAAATCTTAAACAGTTTCCGAACTTATCTGTTCATATTTTTCTTACAAAAATTTATAAAACTATTGGATTTTGATAACCAAATGATTTTAGGAGATGATTATTACTTTTATAGAAACAGTTTCTTAAATCATAAACTTAAACTTAAGGGTCTTAAAGTAATTTAATGATGGTAGGACTAATTCCACTTCGTTAAAATATGCGTCCTATTTTATAATGAAATCCACATCCCTACTTTTACTTAAGTCACAGATATAAAATTTCCTTAAAGGATCAACATATTAAAATCAGTAACATCCAGTCAACACTTAAAAATAGAGCCACCTATTGGTTGTCATCTGTACGTGTTATTTTTTAGCACGCAAATTCTTATAATACTATTTGGTTAACCATATTCTTCATAAAATCATAATCCATTTTAACCCTAATCGAATTATGGTTTTAGTAAAACCGCTTGTAACCAGTCAATTATAACACGAAATCTAATCATCAGCACTTAGGCTACTCATTACTAAGTTATATTTTTGGTATTGTTGAAAGAGCGAACCCCTAATTTCTCGCTGTGCAGTCATGGATATGGCCACGGTTACAGCCATGGTTATTGCTTTGGCTTTAACTATTGCTTTGGCTTTGGCTATGGCCAACGACGACATGGTCGTGGGTTGGGATTGGGATTGGGATTGAGATTGGGTTTGGGTTCGGAATAGGGGACTGGGAAGTTCAAATGAAAGCGGACACGGACAAGGTGGTCTTTCTCCTGGCAGCTGGCAACGCTGTTTCTTGAAAGCTCTCTCTCTCTCTGTCTTTCTCTCTTAAACTTTCTCCGCTTTCTCTCTTGCGAAACACTCTTTGAACGGTTCGGCTCTTGCGCTCGCTTTCTCCCTCGTTCATTCACAATTCCGGGAGCAAGTCGTCGGGGCAGCGAAAAGCTCTCTGGAGGGCACTTTTCAAATCAAATATAAATAAGTATGTGGCGGCTCCTCCGCGGAGCTCCTCCAAGTGTTGCATGTTTTCGTGAATGAAATCGAAAGTCTTTTTCGACCCACCGCCAACTGGCAGCCCCCTCCGCACCTTTGTGTGCCCAACGGGGGGTTAAAGAACCCCGAAAAACCCAGAACTTAGCACCCCCAAGTTCCCCGAAAGACCCCCCTGTTTCCCACTTCCCCGCTTCTGGCCACATATAATTTGATTCATATATAGAGGACTATATGTACGGCTGTGTGACTTTGATTAGGTATTGGGCCAACGAGTCGCTCTGATAACTGTCGACCAGATAAGGGAGCTTTGTCAAGTTCGAGTACTCCGGTGCTCTGTCTCCGGGCTTCGAAACCCAAAACCGATATGGCATTAGCCTATCTACAGTGGTCATTCGGGAAGTTTTATCTATATGTCACCCTCAGTTATATGGTTTTTGCGAAATATAAACGTTGAAATTCACAAATATTGAAGTTGTGTTCAGTTTTCTTTATATCCTTACCTTCTCAATCTTTTATATTAATATTTAATTATTAAAAAACTTTTTTTTATTGATTATATAGCTTTTTTTGATATCATACTTAACTACAAAGTAACGATAGTAACATGATTATTTCACCATATACTCCGAATTTGGAAATATTCTATATGCTATTTAGTTAATATGTAACCCGGCCTATCTTTAGTTCTACTTATCGATCGACCACTGTATTTACATATTTATGCTATTTTGTGCCAGTTAAAAATGAGTCAGGCTGAGCGGCAATTCAGCGATGGACAAAATTGTAGTATACTTTAAAGGGTGATTGATGAGTTGTAAAATCAAAATAATCGACTTTTAACAAGCTCCCCTCTGCTTTTACTCTTATCTTTATAGTCTGGCCATCAAGAATGCCGATGAAAATGCCCCCACGAAGCGAGATCTTGTAAATGCCGAATTTCTGGATGGCGAACAGTGAGTTTATGCAAATAAAAAAGTGCGAAAAAAGAAAGAACTTACATTGATTGTACTTTACAGACCCACACTGGAGGAAATCCGCAGCTGGGGCAAGAGCTTTGATAAGCTGATGAAGAGCTCATGTGAGTCTTTGAAAATTGGCCTTCTGATCTGTGGTAATATTTTGATAAATGTTTGTTCCCAGCTGGTCGAAAGGTGTTCCAGAACTTCCTGCGCAGCGAATTCAGCGAGGAGAACATCCTGTTCTGGCTGGCCTGCGAGGACCTCAAGAAGGAGAGCAGCCCCGAGCTGGTGGAGGAGAAGGCGCGCCTCATCTATGAGGACTACATCTCGATCCTGTCGCCCAGGGAGGTGTCGCTGGACTCGCGGGTCCGCGAGATTGTCAACCGCAACATGATCGAGCCCACGACGCACACCTTCGACGAAGCTCAAATCCAGATCTACACACTGATGCACAGAGACTCATATCCGAGGTGGGTATCGTTGAGGTGAAACTTGAGATGGAACTAGGAGATACCATGATATATATAGAAACAAAGTTACTGTTACAATCAGGAGAAAATAGGGAAACAAAATGAAGTATTCAGCATTAGTTTTCTTCGTTTTTTATAACGGAATCCCTATAATTACCTAACTTCTAAAGATATTTAATGCATAAGCCAAGATTATAATACCAAGCTTAAAGCCCACACAAATTTAATGGATTCTTATAATTCTTTAAAACTTGGAAACAACTTTAAAGGAATACAATATTTTATGTCTGTGAAAGAAGTGACTTCTTGTAAAATAATTACCAATATGTTTTTTACTTAAGGTAGTGACTTTTAAAATGTCTTAGTCAAATAAGAAAACCCAGTTATGTAGTCATTATTTCATTTCTTTAGTTTTTCAAAGAAGAATTTAGCGAAAATCAAGGTGTTTTGAAAAAGACAACGATTTAAAAATAAAATTGTTCAACTTAAAACCTACCGTTTTTAAATTTTAAATGTTAAAATAATAATATAAGTAATAAGCGTTTAAAAATAAGAAGAAGAATACCTTAAAAACTACCTATAAGATTTCCGGTTTCAAAATGTAGCAAATGGACCGAGAACCATTCTTAACTTTAATTCTTCTTCAGAACCCGTGATTATGTGCAATTTTATTAATTTCTCCCTTCTTTTTCGACAGATTCCTAAACTCGCAAAAGTTCAAGACACTCGCTCAACTGCAAGACAACTCGAATGCCGGTTCCAAGGCGGATAGTCCCACTTAGAGAGGATCGATCGCTTGGATCCCCCGGATCGGATCGGATCGGATTTGGATCGTATTCAGTTGCGCTGTGTTGACTTCCGTTGTTGCTCTCCATTGGTATTTCTCTGGTACTTTCCGCCCCCGCCGCTGCTGCAATTGACTAAGCAATATGTAACCATTAGTAGAACCATTTAAACGTTTTGCCCGCAGCCCCAAAAAATCCGGATCCTTGGAGGGGCGGGGGCGCCAGACGATATGCATTCTACGTGAAACGGATTCCTTCTCTCTACCTACGTTCTAGTCGTTAACTAACCAAAGAGTTAAGCACTACATAAATTGTTTACACTAAGGAGCTGGTTCGACCACAGAAAGCATTTTCCAAACCAAACAAAAATAGCCAGACAGCTAATACGAAACGAGCGACACAAATAGCATATATTGTAATACTAGTGATCTAAGAGACGTATTAATCAAATCGCAACAAAGATTACGGAACCCGCTAACCGATAAGTAAATTTAAACGTAATCATAAACCGCTACGTAACAGAAATACTTTTTCCAAGAAATAACAACAAAAAAAAAAGAAGAAACAAAACAAAAAATCTTTTTAAACGTATTACATACATAACTTTATAAAATTATATATACACACCAGCATATATATATATATACGGATATATAGAGACATTTAACTTGACTAGTTTTGAAATCGTTTTAGGTCATACGAGTAATGACATCGAAGCATTTTGTAAATACAACAGCAGACGGCAACACTTTCTACTTTCTTATGAAAACCCAATGAGGATCGAGTCCTTTCTTAAGCAAATCTTATAAAGCCCATCTTGAGCTGTACTTTGAGCCAGACCAGACCAGACCACAACAGACCATATGCCCTATAAAGTCTTATCCGAAACAGAAATCGAAACCTCAACCGGAACCGGAAAAACCGCATAACTAACATGTACTATATTATTTCGATGTCGAGCTGATTTCCAAGTCGAAAGAAGAACGTTTCGCAATATCACTGCCAACAAAAAAATCAGAACTTCGCCAGAGATATATCCTCTTATAATGTATTATGCAATTGTTTTTCTAAAGAATCGGAAGTTCCAAGAGTTTCCCCAACATTAAACCCTTTCTGCATTAAACGATATATATGGAAAAACAGTATTATAAATAACAAAAAAAAGAAGTGAAACAAAAAAGTATGGTTACATTTAAATTTTAGCAAGAAAGTTGTCGAATTGAAAACTAAAAACATACAACCAAAAAAAATAAATAAAAAAATAAAACAAAGAGTTTATAAGTATTAAAACACAGAACAAGCAGGAGGACTTTCGGTTCGAGCCCTGGCAAAAAGTTAACAATGTAATTTCGATCTTAAGTTGGTTTCCTTTAACCTTAGGTTGTCCGTGTTCGAGGCACAATATTTTTAAAGTACAAGATTCATGTGTGTACCTTTGTTGCGGGGAGCAGGGAATGTATTTTCGTAGCTAGTTGGTGTGCCTAGTTTTAATGCATCTATCGATACCAATCCACACCCATCACATCACTCTTACTTGAACAAAAACAGAAACAGAAACGCAGACACGAACATTAACTTTACTAGCATTTAAGCATCTTCCAGTTCTCCTTGAAGTAAATATATCTTAAATTTCAGTCCTCTATCCAGTTTTTGTTTAAAACCCTTTTGATCAGGGTTAAACCAAAAATCTATGATCCCTTTAAATCAAAGTAGAAAGAAAAGTATAGAGAGATTTTTGGTAACCCCCTCTACATAAGTTCCTATATTTTTATAACAGTTCTCACCCGTTTCAAGATCCTATTTCCGAATAACTCCGCCACAAGCTTCCGCTCTAGTCCTTAAAAACACGACTTTTACGCGTCACTCAGGCTGCTACTTGGAATTGAGAATTCGACAACCGCTTTTGCATTATAAACAGAGGTCGACAGATCGGAACCCCGAAGAAAACCAACGTCAGTTTCCATGGTTTGTTAAATTAATTTTAGGCAATCAGGTTAGACACAATGTCCTGGCTAAAGGGACGCGCGGAGGGAGGGAATGTTTGTTTGTGAATGTTTCTCTTCGGTTTCTTACTTTGCAGAACGGACAGATGATATAAGACTTTTTGAAAAAAACAAAAACACAAAATATATAAGTACATTTAATACGATTGTTGTTTGTTTAGTTTTATACACCGCCACACTCGCACACACAAAACACACACGCACACACACCGATACATGCATATATATACTACTTAGCGGTATATGTACAAAAACGTAATCAAGCATTAGTGAAAAGTTTCGACCAGTTAAAAACCATAAATTAAATTTATTACAAAAAAAATCACCTAATGTGTAAACGCAAAAACGGCAAAATCAATAAATACAAAACGGATTAAACTAAGCCTAAATTTAGTTTTAAACATTTAATATATTGCAACAATAAACCGAAATGAAATAAAACTCAAATTCAAACTTGAAGTGCGAGTGTTTTTCAATGGGTGGTTGGGAATCTATATATTGGTTTTAGAATACTAATAACTTTTAGCTTTTAGCATATTTATTCACAAACTATTTTAATTTCCAATTACCTGAAAATGTTGTCTATTTTGTTAGGCCTTTTAAATTTGTTTCGATTTAGACAGCTCACTTATAATCAACATTTCACTGGTCTTACTGAAAATACTGAACTTAAGAATTTAGCTATAATGCAACACTGATTTAATAGTAATTTTTCATTAACCTTCAAAAATGAAATGAAATGCAAACGAAATTCATTTTTACAAATGAATTTTTTTCTATAAAACGTTTTTTGCAAAATGTTACTTAGTTTATTTTAATGGTATTTATTATTATTTATATAATTTTTTTAATTTTCTCTAAATTACAGTTGATATTCAGTAGAATTACACATGATTTTGGTAATATAATATAACATCATTTTTGTAATTTCTTTGGTATTTTACTGTTTAAAGTTAACTTATAATTCTTAAAACTTTTCATTCTAAAATATGAGAATGTTTTTATAGATAAACTGCTTTAAAAAACTACTCTTATTTGTCTAGTAGACATTTTTACATGAATAAATAAAGTAAGTAAATAGCCATGTAAATTATACAGTAGAATGCTGCATATTTTACAACTGCACTTTACACGATGTAGAAGAGCGAATACATTCGTGTAAAGCAGGTGGTGTGCGCTGCTCCAATCCGTTCTAAGCCGCAGTTCCACGCGTGCGCAGCGCCCAAAGACAAACAGAGACGGCCAGAGCGAGCGAGAGAGAGGAAGCTATGCGGAGGGGTCAACGGGGAGCAGGAGGGGTATCACCCTTTACCGTGGCGGAAAGCACACAAGCTCCGTCCGTCCAGCCGTCCGCCGATCCACACGACACAGCGCTGATTGCCGCCGCCTGTCGAGGTGAGGTTGTAGGAGCTCAACTGAGGTTAACCGAAAGCCAGGTCCAAGGAGCGAGCGAGAGGGGGCGGGCGGTGGAGCGGGACGGAGAACGGCGGAGGCTGTGCGGCAGCTACTTGGCGTATTCGATTGTGGTACATGCACAACTATTTTACGTATGCCACACGGAGAGAAAATATATCAAATTGAATTAGTTAAAGTTGTATTTATAAATTTTTTTTTTATATTATTAAAACTTGTTAAAGTTTTTTTTTATAAAAATCGTACTCATTATATATGTAGGTTTTGTATAGCATTCTATATTTAAGGAGAAAGTAAGAGTCTTAGAAAAATCTAGAAAATAAGGAATTACATTTTTGTATTCCAAAAAGTTTTTACATTGGAAAAGTATGCTCACGAAACTCAATAAAAGCATTATACAATTTTTTGAAGGTAAACAAATTCAACTACATCAACTGATTTATAAAATGGAATCAAAAAATTAGCGATGGAAAGATTATCGAGATCAGGAGTAACGGAATATTATATGTACATTTCAATAATATTTTAATTTTCATACACTTTTTTATACTTTTTTTAAGGAAATGCTTAAATAATATATTTTATGAATACATTTTATAAGCGAGAGACCTATCTCTAATTTAAAACATATATCAAATATCAGAAAAATGCAATTTCGTGTCCCCCTTTTCGTGCAGTGAGTGCTCTCGGCATGCGGCGATCTCTCTACCTCTCTCTTACCGTTGTGTGTATTTGTTTCTCTACCTGATGCCTGATTGCACTACCACTTTCACGCGGCTTACAAGCCGAATGACAACAACAAAAACAGAACAACAAGGCGGCGAGTTCGAAAGCGAATTCGAATTTTCGATGATGAATGCAATGCCACCGAAATGAACGTCTGGAGTAGGGAGTCGAAACGAAAAGCAGGAGCGGTTTGCTCGAATTGCGGGTGGCTCTCTCACTAGCTCGCTCTCTCCCACTCTCTCTGCCGCTGCCTCCCTCCCCACCCCTCTCTTTCGGTGAAGTGGCGCAGTAGAAGGTTCGTTGCCTAAGTCTTTTGTACCTGCCTGCGTTTTTGGCCTCTGCAGGTGCACCCACACACACAGGGCTACCTGTGTTGTTTCTTGCGCCCGCCTTGGTATGGGTGTTCGGCTACGGGAGTGTAGAGTGTAGAGACAACAACCATCATCGATTCGAATGAATTTGAGTGGCGCTGCGCTGCCGGCGTCGCTGCCACGCCGCGGCATTCTCCTCAATATCAGTTACGAAAGAGATGAAACCATAAAAAGCAATAATAATCGAGAGCTCTCTCACCTGCACACGGACAGCACCTTGCCACCAATACACGAACGCCAGCGACGACGTCGGCAGCGGCAGAGGCAGCGGCAGCAGCAGCAGCACATTCAACAGTTGAACAATCTCCAATTGACTCTTTGGGCATTATAGCCGAGAGCCGAGATCCAGCGACAGCGACGACAAGTTTTCCGCGCACACGGAAAGTCAGCAAGTTAAAATACACCGATATATACATATATCTAAAAAATATACAAATCTGACTTATCGATTTTACCCACAAAAATTTCTCTGTTAACACTCGCGTGTGCCTATCGATCATAGCGAAAATCCAATAAAATTATACACCAAACAAACAGCTAAAAGTCGCGCTTAAACTTTTTCGAAATTAAATAAAACACACACACGAATTTTGAGCCACGAAGAGGAAGAGAAGGCTGAAAAAGCGAAAAAAAATCGTCGTGTGTGTGAGTGAGTATCTGTGTGTGTGTGCGTGTGAGTGTATCTGTGTGTCGTCGCCTCTCTGCGAGAGCTGAGCTTTGTGTGCTTGTGTGTGTTTTTGTGCGAGCTGGAATGAGACGCCATCAAAGCTGAGCAGCGAATAAAAAAATGCAAAATAAAAATAGTGATTAATAACAGCAGCCAGAACCAGCAGCAACAACAATGCTAGTGCGGAAAAGCGCGTGAAAAATAGTGGAAATACTCAGCAAAAAAAAAATAAGAAAGATAGAAACGAAATATTAGTTCGAAAACGCAAATGCCAGGCGAAACGCCCCCGAATCGACCCGCCCTCTGCCCCCCCAACTTTGCGCCTCTCAGTGTTCAGCAGTAAAAACAACAGCAGCAGCAACAACGAATGTTAGGCCAAAATGCACAAACTGACTAACAACAACAGCTCCAGCTCCACATACCACAAAGAGTGGCATATTAGAAGCGGCCAAAAGCAGCCAGCCAAGAGCATTGTGTAAGCCAGAGCCAAGAGGCCCAGAGAGCCAGGCCAAAAAGCCCCCAGACGCACAACAACAACAGAAACAGCACAAAGAGTGGCGAAAGGTGCACCCACCAGCAAAACAGCAAAACAGCAACAACGGAGCAACAACAGCAGCAGCAGCCACATTTCAGTTCCAGCTCCAGACTCCCAGGTTACAGACTCCTCAGACTCCAAACATCAAACTCCAAGCTCCATCTTAAGATCCAGCTCCAGTTCCAACGATCCAACGATACACTGTTCCAGCGTGCTCGAGTGCCATAGATCCTCACCAAGTGCCAAAATCCGCATCCTGATCTAATCTGAGATCCATAGAGCTCAAGGCACCCGGCCCAAAAGTGAGTAGTATTAGCCTACCGAGAAGTAATTATAAACGCATCAGGCTTTTGCAGCCCTGGTCGGCTCATGGCGGGATTACACTGACAGAAATAGCACCTCTTGACTCATTAGCATTCCGGCTTATAGAGCTCTTGGCAGGGAGTTTCCCAAAAGTGAGCAATAAAAGAGGGAATTTTGGGCCTACTTCATGAATAGGGATTTTATTGCTCAGTTATAAATCCAAAATGTATAGCACATGTTCTAAACTACCTTTATATGGTTTAGTACCGTTAAAAGTACAGGGGAACCTTTTTGAAATATTACCAGAATTCGATATTAAAGAACCTTTTTGTAAAATAAAAATTGTAATATTAAAACTCTGAAAATTAATAAAAAGGGTAGTTTTGAAATAAGTAACATAAGGATTTAAGAACTTTGGAAAGTGGGTTTATCATATTGGGGCTTACGGAAATGTTGATATATTTTTGTTGATAAGTGTTGATAAGTTTTCAAAACGGAGTTACCTAATGGATATCGGAATTATTATAATAAAGCTCGATGACATAAACACTGCACTGTATTAAACAGCTTGAGTGATATAATTGGTATCAGAATGTTGCATTAAAAAATATCTATGTAAACATGATATAACATAATATCATGAAAATGATTAAGATATAATAATTCATTGAAAATATGAAGCTTAATTTGGAAAGATTTAGTGTGCTTTGTAGATCTTAATGCGTTAAACCAAATGAAATATTGTTACCATTTCGGAACTCGTTGTTTTAAAGAGGGCTCCGATATCTTTAGATACAAAATGGTACCCAATTTACATTTTAAAGGTTTTTATTACCGCGATGGCCAGTGTTCTTTCGAAAGCCTTCGTCTACAGTGGACACCCTGTATGTTGTGCAGACGTAGCCTAAGTCTCTTTGGTCCCAGCCTCAATTTGTGTTGTTGTTTTTGTTGTTGCTGTTGCTACTGCTGTTGTGTTGTTGGTGGTATCTTTCGCGCACACATTCCTCTTTGTTTGGTTTTATTTTGTATTTCGTATTTCGAAGTGGTCGCTGCGCAGCGGCAGCGGCAGCGGCAGGTAAGGCTTACAGGTATTGGTGTTGCTGTTATATTGCCGTTGTGCTATGTTGTGTTGCCAACAATAATGCCGAGCTGAGCTAGAGCGGGAGAGTTGGCCATAA